TGTGTGTAGTGTATATTTCAGATTTTGTAGTGTTTTTATTTTTAGCAAATTGTAACTGATTTTTTAGGAGTAAAACTGTTGTAAGTAGTGTTTTTCCTTGAACTATATAAAAGCCTGGTCCGTTTCCAAGTTCTTTGCTCCAAAGAGTAAGCTGCCAGTTAATGAAAGACTGTAGAGCTCAACAGACCCCAGACAAAACTTTAAACACTGCAAACCACTGTAATAGCTTAAATCCAACTCAGTAAGAGAAAGGGATGGATTTGGAGCAGGGCATCTTTTTGTTCTGTGTTTGTACTATGCCTAGAACAATGGGGTCCTGGCCCATGGCCTGGGGCTTCTAGGTTCTACTGTAATATAAATAATAATTATTAATAATAATAATTAAGGGCACAACCCTCTGAGTGTTGAGTGCCTTTAATGTCATTGGGAACAGGGCCCCTATTTTTAATTATTTATCTCTGTATTTTAAAAGGATGAACCAGTTATATTGCTATGCACAATGATTCTGAGGATGATCATAGTTGTTTTCATATTGTGCATTAAATGGTGTTGTGAATAATTTCACTGCAGTAATAGTAACCTTTGTTTAATATAGCTTAGTTCATCCTACATGTTTTGAAGATGACAAAGAAATTCAATTGAAAGCCTGAAAATCAATATATTGGCCCATTTAATTTACTCATTGTAATATCATCCTTGAGAACCAAGCCCTTTAGGTGTTATATGGAGTGCTGGGGTAATTTGAGCAATTACAACGGGGTTTCAAGTACACCACTACTCCGATATAATGCGACCAGATATAACACGAATTTGGATATAACGCGGTAAAGCAGTGCTCGGCGGCGGTTGGGGAGGGGGCTGCACACTCCGGTGGATCAAAGCAAGTTTGATATAACGCGGTTTCACCTATAACGCGTTAAGATTTTTTGGCTCCCGAGGACAGCGTTCTATCGAGGTAGAGGTGTATTATAGTTGGAAGCTGATGCAGGGACAGCATGACACAGGCAGACAGTTTCATAGGTAAGGTACATTATTCCAAACAAACTTGACCTTATATACTTTATACAAACGGTTGAAAGATACAGGGCAAATTCTCTACTGGTATAACTCCACTGATAGCAAAGGAATTACATAACAGAATATTTGGCCTACAAAGTCTAGTATGACTATTTAATCACAAGGTTTCTATAAGTTGGATGGTATAAACCATTCATGATAGATAATTTGCCTGTATTTCCCTAGCCTCATGTCCACTCACACATATACAAATGGACC